AAAAAAAAAAGTATCACGACAATACCTACCTGAATGTATCCAGTCATAATTTCAAGTCCAAAGCCGATTCTATTTATGAAAAGAGTAAAGATAAAGAAAATCAATATATAATAAAATGAAAAGAAAAAGAAAAAAATCAATACCAATACTTATTTGATATTTAGAGGTATTAGTCGAGGTAAATTTATCAACTGACTAAGCCGATTTTATAAAAATTGGCTAAGCCGGCTTAGCTGGCTAAATATTAAAATCATGCGAATTAGCATAGCAGAAGTTAGTTTTGATTGGTTGTTTAAATATCCTAAAAAAATATCAATCATAGCCCAGATAGAATATCTGCTACATATTATTTTACTATATTAAATTAGTTTCATCTCAACTACTTTATTCAGATTTTATGATGTGTATATAATAACTTTAATTCTGTTTTGTAATACGTTATTACTATTTATTATATTGAAAAGCGAATGAACTTCTGCTATGCTAAATTACATAGATGCGATTTATTAATTTCATATTACTATTGACTATGTATAAAAAAAAGTATACATATTTTATTTTAAAAAAATGAAATTAAAGGTCACAAATTCTACTCTTTGGTTATACGTATATATTTAACTATATCATTGAACAATCAGAGTTTTAAAAAATATTTTTTGTAAGCCTGATATTTAGATTTTTTTTTTTTTTTTAATTTTTTATCTATTCTATAATCCAACATAAACATTCATAACTGGTGAGTTTTTTTTTAAAAACAATAAGCCATGAACCATATCAGGACTTAAACGATTACGTTTGTCTGTTAAAACATTTTCAGCACTAGAAAAGAGTCTCTCAGAAGGGACTGAAGTTGCAGGTACAGCAAGAAAAATTCTTGCCTGTTTAGCAAGAAGTGGTAAAGTACCTTGATGTTCTCTCCATCAGCTTAAAGGGTTGCAATTTTTATATAGAGGATCTGTAAGTTCATATTTAGGGATTGGTGGGATGGAAAAATATACTTGCAGTTCTGTATCAATAGGTAAGTTTAATTCCATTTCATCGTCATAAAATGAAGACATGTCAGATGTTGAACTAACTGTATTTGATAAATTATCTTCAGCTGATAATTGGATAGAAAGATTAACTCTTTTTTTTAATTCTTCTATTATTTCATTTCTTTTATCAGATGATACATCTGATAATGATTTAAAACAGGAGTCTAAAATTGTAGCAAGCAATCCAATTATATTAGGATCCTCCCAGCAATTTAACATTGATTGATAAAGACATTTATATATTTCAATAACAGATAAATAGATAATTTGATATTTTATATTGTCAAGATGTTTAAAAAGGCGTTTTATAGTTGGGTATACCATTCCTAATGATGGATACTGGTTTCTACCTATATAAACAGACGCACGCGCAAAAGGATAAAGAAGATCATATAATTCGATTAATCCTTGCCAATCTTTGTCTGTTATTATTTTTTCCTTTAAATTATTTCTATCCATTCTAATTATTCTATCAAGATCTTTTATTAGATTCTTAGCTAATGCACTAATTGCTTCACAAAGATCTATGAGTCTTTGAAGAAGAAGATACGTAGAATTCCAACGTGTTGCAGTATCACTTGAGATGGGCTCCAATATATTATTAGATTTAGTTGTTAGATTTGAAACTGTATCCTTTTTTTTATTTAGTTCAGCTTGAATTTTATAAAATTGAGGCCTATATTTATCATGGTTAACAAAAAAATTATTCATTATTTTGGCTTTTTTGACTAATGTATTACTTTTTTTTAACCTGTCTGTAATTGCAAGATGAATTGTGTGGGCTGCATATCCGAAGTAAGTAGTTTCTAATTGTCTAATTGCCTTTACCATGGATGCAGCATTATCCGTAGTTACTGAAAACAACTTATTCTCTATATTCCAGTCTGTAAGAACTTTGTGCAAGAAGTCTTCAATACGATCACCCATATGAGGGTATTTAAAATTTTCTATAGTAATTAATACTTGATGCATTACAAAGTTTTTAGCAAGCTAATGCACAGTTACTCCAATAAATGGAACATGATTTTGGGTCCATAAATCTGTTGTAAAATATACAGATATCATTGTTTCATTTATTAGTTTATTTAAATTTAATCATGTATATATTACTGATTCTGCAATTTTATTTTTTATTGTATTAGTACAGAGAGCTCCAAATCGTGAATTAATTTTATAGCAGAAATCTTTAAAGTGATCATGATTAATACAGTCTAAAGGCATCATTGCCTCAACTAACCAAGCTACTAAACGATAAGTTATACGCTTTGTTTTACTTTAGAAAGTGGTTGTGTTATTTCAGTATGTTTCTCAAATATAGAGTTAATTGTTGTTTGTATTCTGTTTTCACTTGAAGATACTATAGACACATCTAATTTTTGGTTCTTAAAAATCCTATGTACGGTATGTAAATGTGAAGCAATATTGGTAACTGAAGTAGAAGGTTGGAAAATAGTTGTACATCGCTCAATATTTTCATTGCCGTTATTTATATTTACTTTACAATATTTTAGTTTTGTAACTTTATTACGCTCTGTGTAATACCACACCCAGTTTTCATTTTGTGTTTTTCTATATATAGGTATTTTGTTTTTTCTTTTTACAGGTATTTGTAATGAATGAGATATGGTAGAGGGTGAAGATGCTTCTGCTGAAATTTTATATTGTTCAGAAATTATATCATTATCTGATTCTTCTGGGCTAAAACCTTCACTTTCAGTAACACTCTTATATAACAAGAAGCTATCTAGAGAGGTTTGTTTTTTTAATGATCGTGTTTGTTCAATTTGAGAGGTTTCATGATCAGAAAGCCCTATAGTATCTGATAAATTAGACATTGTAGTATAAGATAATTGATTAGGAGAAAGCGTTTCTTTATATAAAAGCAAGAGATATTTAATAATTATGTTTATATAGATAAATAAGAGATTTGTAATATTTATTTATTAAAGAATATATAAAATATTAATTAACGAAGATTAAGTTTTACATTGATATTATTTACATTAATTAAAATTATGATAAGTTTTAAACCATAAATCATTTAAATATTATTTACATATTACCGTATACATTTTTCAAAAACTTGATGAAACATATTGTGTGGTTTTATTTATTTTAAACTATCGCTATATATTTGAAACATTACATGTAGAGATATAATTAAACTTTTTATTAACAGTTAACTGATTCAAATATACAGTATTTATATAATATTTCGTTTAAATTTTATAAAATTCTAATTGCAGTATACATAAATGCGCAATTTACCCCTTGCTTTCAATGCTTCTAAAACCTGATTTATTTTAATCAACGTTAACAACATGTTTCTGTAAAAGGTTAAAGCTATATATGCTTTGACCAACTTTTGTATAATGTTTTGCATTTCCATAAAAGGCTAAATATAATCAAGATCTATAATTATAACGATATTCGGGTAAGTCAATCTAAAATCAGGTATTTGGTCGACTAAGCCGACTTTTTAAAAATTTGACCAACTTAGCCGACTAAGTCGACTAAGTCGACTAACCCCGAATCGACTAATACCCCTATCTGATATATCTAACTTAATTCCAAATTCTTCACAACTTTCACTCGTCAAAGTTTTAGTTTAACCCTAATAGTAAGGTATAGGTATCATGCTTGAGCACTATTCATTTTCAGAGCTAGTTTATTCGGCAGGTGAGTTGCTATTCCTTAGCAAATTCTGATTTCCATAAATGATTCCAAGCTTAAAGTCAATTCTACTTACAAAAAAGAGTGAAGAAATCAATAAATAATAAAACAAAAACAAAAAAAAAAAAAAAATTTACTACCAATACTTATCTGAATGTATTTAGCTTCAATTTTAATGATTTCAAGTCCAAAGCCGATTCTATTTATGAAGAAAATAATGAAACAAAAAAAACATTGCCAATATTTACCCGAATATAACCAGCCTCAATTTTAATGATTCCAAGTTCAGACCGATTTTACTTATGAAGATGAAAAAAAGCAATTCATAAATGAAGTAAAAAAACATCAATGCTTACCCAAACGTAACCAACTACAGTTCCACAATTCCAGTACAGAGGTGATTTACTTACGAAAAGAGTGGAAGAGAAAGAAAAATAAATAAAAGAAAAAAAACAATAACAAAGAGAACATACCTTGACATCACCTAGCAAGTTCTATCAATTCAAGTTAATAAAGTAGCCTAATAAAGAAAAAGGTGTCAATCACAACTTTCAACAAGTATGAGAAGAAAAAAAAAATTACAGTATATATCTCAATGTGCCTAGCACATCCTTACTTAAAAATTATATGATTTTTGGCATAATGAAGTACTGGTAATTTATACAGGACAAAAAACAAAAATGCTAGCTTTAATAACCAAACAAAAAAAAAATAAAAAACAACTATTATCACTATTAATATCATTTCTGGCTCAACAAAAGACTTATTTAAAAAAAATAAAAATAAAATTATAAATTTTAATTGCTAAACAAAAGACAAAAGTATCACATACTTACCAAACCCAAGCTTCAACAGAGAAAACAAATTAGTCATGATCTTTGCATTTATATGATCGCTATTTATATAAGGTCGCCATCTATAATTTTTCTATATTAATATATAAAATACTATTCGATTTTTTTAAAAAAATTCACCTGGCCGGATTATAAGAACCAATTTTATTTATATACACGCTTAAGTTAAATCTAACTCTAACTCTAAATTTATTTAATTTTTAATAAAAATTTTATAATACCAGATGATATCACCACAGGTGAAAATTAGTTATTCTCGAAAATAAATTAGAAAAAATAATTAATTAATTTTTATTAATTTATATACTAATTTTTTTTAGATGATCTTGTCTTTATTATTTCTTAGAAAGTACTAAAAAATCATATTTCTTGGCTAGTAATACTGATATAATTTTTGTATGCTAATTTTATTTCAATAAAGACTTACTTGACTAAAAGGCCCAGGTGCAATCTGTCAAAGTAGTTATTTTGCTTCATATCAGATCTTCAACTTTTTGAGAATTTAAATTCTCTGATTCTTAGCTAAGAGCTAGTATCTTATATTAAGTAGCAAAAACACTAAAAAAAATAAAATAAAGGTATAAAGGTTTATGATAAAAAGATACAAACAAAAAATAAAAAGAAGATAAGGAAATAGTAAGAAAAACAAAAAGAAAATTGCATAATTTATAGTTATAAGCCTATAAAAGGCTTGTAAAAATTATATACTACTAAATAATCTAGTCTTTACCCTATATTTATCTACTTAGTATATTAAAGTAAAAAAACTTATAGAAAAACTTTATCAACCAGACTTGTAAAAAGGTTAGATATTATTTCAGAGCATTGTTTGTATAAATATTCTGTATTTGAAATACATGTGTATTACTATATGTGTTTGTTGTCATCTATCTGATTTAAAAAATAAATAATGCTAACTGTTTTGGTTTATATAATATCGATTTTTTAAAGAGAATAAACTGAAACATCCACTTTTTACAAAAATTTTTTTGAAAAAAAAGTAGTAGGCCAATGCGAGAGTAAAAGTTTCTTCTGTAGATTTTACAGTTGTATATATATTTTTACAGAATTCTACTATCTTTAAAAAATCTATTTTTAGAATAAACTTTTTGGTTTGGATACTAAATATCTTGAGGAGTCTACTAATGCAAGAAAGTTTGACCTTAAGAAAAGCTACCTTGTTTATATCTGCTTCTTAGTATTTCATATTTTTTAGATTTTATTAACAATAGCTTGCTTTAAATAAACTTGTTTCTAGAATAAACCTTTTGGCTTGAATATCAAATATCCTAGAGAGCTTGTCTACAAGAATAAAAAAAATTTAATACTAGAAAAACTATCTATTTGATATTTGCTTCTTGATGTTTTACATTTTTAAAGCTTTATTAACAACAATTTACTTAAGATAAGACTAAAGATAGTAACTATCTTGGATATTTCTGTAGTTTAGTTTTAATTTTGTTGATCAAGAGATTATTAGAGTTGGATATATCATAAATAAAATTTTTTGATAATAGATTTATTTATTTATTTATTTTTTTTCGGCATGTCCTGTCACTATTTTTATTAAGATATTAACTACGCAAAAATTACAAGAATTCTTAACTATAGTTATTTTCTTTTTAACTGCAACAAGTGACTCACTCAATTTAAAAGCCCAAATACGATATCACCTAGTGGCTGTCTGCCTCCTTCTGAGCCTCTAACTTACTAGAGGTATGAATTTTTTGATTATTGGCCAGTGCCATATGCCGTATCAGTATTATCTTTTCTTTTTTAAAAATAAAGAAACCAAGACAAGAATCAAAGAGCAATAAAGAAAAGAGGTAATACCTCGATGACCAAATTCAATTCATCTAATTAAATAAAATAAAAAACAAAAAACAAGAAAAAAGAAAAACAAAATAAAAGAAAAAAAAAACAAAGATAGCACTATTAAACCTATGTCAAATTGTAAAAATTATATAGTACTACTAAATAAACTAGTCTAAACTCTATGCTAGTTATTTATGTCTATATTAAGATATATAAAATATTCATTCTTGAGTAGAGATTCAAGTTCGAAATTTCTCTTGTGGTCCTACCAGGTTTTCGGTACAGTAATCTGCAATGTATTCTCATGCACAATTGCTGTTTTCTGGGCAAAGTTAGCAACCTAGGAATCTTGATGTAAATACTATAACCTCTTGAGGAAACTGATTAATACATTTTTCATCCCAAAGTAGACATGTACTTCTGTACGTGACTTTTCTTTTCAGCAGCAATTGTTGTTATCAATTTTTTGATGAGGATACACCGACTTTTCTACTTTTTGATAAAATTTCGTAAAGAACAGAGAGTAGGGTCTTGGTAGAGAGTTTCGGTTTGCAGGTAACCTTAAACTTCGATAAAGAGTGTATTAAAAACTTGCTTGTTGTTCCCCTTCAGACCAACTATCTTTCATTTCGTTAGCAGAAGCTATGCTTTTATTAAAATTTTTTGTACAAAGGCACCACCTTCTGCCAGTTATCTTGTACAGAAATGCTTTTAACTTGTTTGCTGAATATACAAAGGAGTCTGAAAGCAAACCTGAAGTATCTTAATCTCTATAAAAACTATTATTTGTAGTTGTCTCTTCTACTTTTTCCAACAAGTTTTCTATTTTTGTTAGTCATAAGTTTGGTACAAGTAATTGTTAGAGAGAGTGACCATGTCTGTTAATAATAGATTTATATAGGGGGCCAGTTTTTATACCCCCAAATTTATTATTCATACCTCCCTGCAGATTTAATTTTTTTTTAAACTTTGAGCAAAGATATCTCAGTAATTACCAAGCCAAATTTAATAAATTTTTTTTCTTTGCATTCTATAGATTTATAGAATTCAAATAAAAAAAAGTTCATCGAATTTGACCTAGTAGTTACTGAGATATTTTTGCTCAAAGTTTGAAAAAAATCAAAATATCTATTAAAACAAACAATACAAAATTTTCTTTAAACTTTGAGCGAAGATATCTCAGCAACTACTAAGTCAAATTCGATGAGCTTTTTTTTGTTTGAATGCTATGAACCTATAGAATTCAAATAAAAAAAAATTTATTAAAATTGACTTGGTGGTTGTCAAGATATCTTTGCTCAAAGTTTTAAAAAAAATTCAAAACGTCTATCAAAACAGAAGCTGCGCCAAAATTTTTTCCAAACTTTGAGTGAGAATATCTCGACAACCACCAAGTCAAATTCGATGAACTTTTTTTTGTTTAAATTCTATGAATTCAATTCATAGAATTGAAACAAAAAAAAGTTCATCGAATTTGGCTTGCTAGTTGTCGA